TTGAATGGAAATTTGTTTTGTTCTCTCCGAAGCCTCATTTTGGTCAGAACTAAAACTAACTATAACTGAGATTCTTCCAAAGTCTAATTGAAAATTTTTCGTGATGAACCTTTGGAAGCTTCACATGCGACAGCCTAGCAATTTACTCTGGGTTCCTCATGCCTCCTACACAGAAATGCTTGGATTTTCTAAAGGATTCGTTTCCTAATAAGCCTTGCTGTTTTGAACGCTGTTGCCCGTGCTAGAGCATAACAGCGCCATTGCAATAGTTTGACGTAGGGCAATTTTTGAGAGGATAATTGGTTTCGCTTCAATAACTTGAGAGTTCGTCTTTTCATCTACATCTCATTTTCTTTGTAACAACTCAACGGCACAATACAAAATGCGCTAGAAACTGGTTCGGTCGACTGAGTAGTACTTTTTTCTGTTGTAGAATTATGCTGCAGCAACAGTTTTCAATGACTAGTTGTTTTAAATTGCGATTCGTGAACCAGATTATTCATGAGACCTGTTTTATAGTATGCGCGGTGAGCCAATAAGTTGGTTGGAGAGATTCTTTTCCAGTAGAATGAACGACGCTTTTTCCTAATTGTAACTGACGAAAGTTCATTTTCAGCGTTTGTTCTACTTGCAAGTGAAGGATGCTATTCTATCGGACGAAGTGTACTGCTCACCTGAAACATCAGTGTTGCTGGCTTCGTTTGCAATGCAGGCGAAATATGGAGACTATCAACCAGAAACTCACAAACCTGGTTGTCTTACTGCTGATAGGTAACTACACCTGTCTAATTGTTAGCTTAGAACTCTGGAGTAGTATCCTGTTTTCCAATCAGGATTCATACCTTCATTCCAGGCTTCTCCTCACGAGTGCTGGACAGTTTAAAATGAGCTCTGATGAATGGGAAAAACGAATTATGACATGGTGGGCAGATCATAAGGGAACAAGTCGCGAGCAGGCAATGGCTGAATACCTAAAACTGGCACAGGATCTTGAAATGTACGGCGTCAATGTAAGTGATTCGAATTTTGTGTCGATGGATTTTGATCTATTCACTCTTTTTTCTCTTCGATATCTGACTTATACCATTATTG